AGGAATAAAAAGAAGAAAATAACAGGGAAATTCAATAGTGGCTGAAAAATCTTCCAGTAGAAAAATGTTACCACAGAGTGAAGAAAAAGGGTGACCCAAACATCCCCATGACTTAGAAAACTATTAGTGAAATAATTGTCTTTACAATATAAGTTTAAAAAAAATGTTCCCAGATATTATGGTGTGGGAAGGTAAAACAAGAGATGGTAGGCTCAGTGAAAAAAATGTGGAAATGAAAAAAAAAACTGAGAAAATAATAGTCAAAATGGAATTTTCACAAATGTTAATTGATATACCTCAAAATCCATAGTATGGGTCAGGACTGAATGAGAAAAATTAAAGGTAAAAAGAAAGTAGATACAGAAGACAGAGAAAAAACAGCATAGGCATAGCTGTTGTCCCTAAATTATAGAATTACAATAATAAAAAAGAAAAATAATTATTAATAATAGGATTCTAGAAAGACTTAAAAGAATAAAAGAAATTTTTAATCACCAGAAAAAGGTGATTTTCCCTTTATTATGAAAGGGGAAACCATGCCCAGAAAAATAACAGAGTAATCAATAAACTTAGCAAAATTATTATACTCAAAATAAAAAAAAATTGGGGTATCCAAGCAAGATAACCAAATCACCATTAAATATGGAAAATAATAATAATAATAATATCAATTTCCAGTTTTCTTCCTGGCATCACTCAATCTTAAAACTGTGAAGCAATGCCTGAAATTCCTAAGGGCAAATGTGTGAGCCCAATAATTTTGTATTCATCCTACCCACTGGTCAACTGTAGAAAAATTAAACAACTTGGCTGAATGCAACATTTTTCTCATACACTTTCCTGAAGAATTTATTAGGAATGAAGTTCAGGCACTAGAACAAACTCTTGCTGAAATATTGGGAAAGATCATTGAGGCAATTTAATTGTAGGACTAATGTTAAAAGAAATATGCGATGTAGAATATTCCTAAACCCTAACAATATAGCAATGACATATGGTACAAAAATGTATTTTTATTTGCTCATCTTTTATAGATAAAGGGAGAAGAGATCATTTAAAGATGATAAATAAAACAGAGATATATTCAAAGAGTCAAAAAGTTAATAGGAAAATAATACAATAAATAAAAGAGAATGGTAGAGGGGAAGAAGACAGAGGAAGAGGAAGCAGAAATATAACTCCTGCTAATAATACTGCATGCTCCTAGATGGCGAATTAGAACTTGAGGTACAAAGAGGTTAATTATCTTGCCTTAAATAAAAAACTGGGGAGACGAAGAAGCTTGTATTAGAACCCAGGCTGGCAAATGGTACACAGAACAGTTCATTAGGTTTGTGACTTTGCTATTACATAATCTCACTGGCTTCTCTCTCTTCATTGGTGAAAGGTGGAAAATAATGACTTAGAGCTGCTGCGACAATTAACAGGGAGAGCACACCCCTAAGAGTTGGTAATCCATGAAGCTCTATGGTGAATGGAAGGCATGTCTGTCACCAGTGCTGTTTTCACACTGTCACTGTTGCCAAAGCATCTTTCAGGCCCGCCTCACAGAGGAGCAAAGATTTCAATTAGGTGCCTGTAGAGATAAATTGTTTTTACAATCCTTTACTGACTTTTAAACCTCAAAATGGATTTTCTTGCTCAGACTGAACAATATCAATCCCCTAAAAGAGCTTATATGCTGAGAAAGACCGCCTAACAAAGCGTGATGTGGTAAGTGCCACAGTGAGGCTCTGTGCTGTGTGCACACAGGAGCAGGGAAGGGAAGGATGGTGAGATTCAACGAGAGAAACAAATTTCTCTCTGCATAGAAAGAAAGACCTACAATTTCACATTCTAATATCTCCCTTTGGGAGAAGCATCGACAGGTTTGTGTTGTATTTATACTACACAGCAACCTTTTTAAAATTGCCTTCAGCCTCTCTTTCCTGCATCTTTTCCCACAAAGATTGTCCTTGACCAACATAAGAAATGAATTTGATTTCTCTAATGCAGAAGGTAATTGGATTTTCCTTTATTGAATGCATCCCTTAATGACTGTCTCTGTAACTGCCAATTTAGCTGCAAGTGACCTGACATTGATCTTATGATATGACTTAAAATAAAGAGTTGAAGCTGGGGTGAAAAAGATCAGCTGCCTGCCATCAGAAAGAATGAGTCTTGGCCCTGTCTTGCCATTTTCCTGAGAAAATGCTTTATCTTTGATGTCATTTTCACAAAACATGCTGCTGTAATAATTGGTCATACAGCAGCAGATTGCCTCCTTCTAGAAAGTATGATAAGTACTTCCCAGAAAGTGCCCTGGAGAAAACACTGAAAACGGAATAAAACCTACCCAGTAATCATTTTGTTCCCTGAAAATATTTATTATCATGCAAACTCTTTCAGGAATAGAATAAATATTGCTGAACAGAATGCATTAAATCTTTAACAAATTTGGCCAAACATGAAATATTTATTAAGTATTTATTTACTTAACCTTGAGGTTTTAGTAACATATTTGACACAAGAACTTTTGTCCAAGGTTATGAAGAAGCAGTGGCTGAAATTGTTGTATTTGAAAGAATAACAATTCTTTCCTCAAGGGAAGTTATAAGACTCTTTTATGCCCCCCAAATGTATAAGATTTAAATTTCTCTACTTTCATCTTTATTTACTTTCTAGTAATAATATAGTTCACTGGACTCATGGTTAATCTTTATTCTATTGTCTTCCCTTTCTCATTTTGATAAATATCATGAATCACTTTAGGAGGAAAATACAATCCATGGGCATTAGTCTGAGTGAGAAAATGAAATACTATAATTTTAAAGAATCAAGAAGAAATTATAGGTAAAGAAAATAATGCATAAACTAGATCATTTTAAAAACAAGTAAAGCAAGTGTTTTTCCTTTTAAAATTATTAATATTAGTTGCATTTCATATTTATCAAAACAATTGACAAAGAAATTAACTGAGAGTTTATATGAAAACCATCTGTGATTCTTGAATGTTTTCAGATTCAATAGTGAAGCATCAAGTAAAATTATTAGAGGACTGTTAGGCAGAACTGCATAAATCTGCATTGTTGCTCAGTGAATTACAGTGAACTAACTTTAGTTCTCATCAACAGAGAGAATGTTGGGAACTCTGTTCTTAGAAATGACATTGAGAAAGAAAATAAATAAGAATCAAGCTGAAGTCTTTCCTGGAAATTGGGCTTCTTAGCCACCATTCGGATTGGCATCCCAGTGAATATTTTCAAGGGACAATTTTTTGGACACTGTGTGGCAAAATAAGATGGGTTTGCTTGAGTAGCAATGGGAAACTCAGTACTAGCCAAAGGTCACTGATCCAGAAAGACTCCCCATTGACTCACAATCTTCTGTCATAAGTGATTAAATCTCTCTTCTTTCAAGGCCATTTGTTGGAAGTTTCAATTACATGCAATGCTAAGACTTTAAGGGCAAGAGAAAAGTATGCTTTAATGGGTAATGAAAATTCTTCATTACTCAATACAGTATACCTAATTTTGTATGAGTTTTTCCTTCTTTCTTTTTTTTTCCATTCTGGGGTGTGTGTGTGTGTGTGTGTGTGTGTGTGTGTGTGTGTGTCTGGGAATTTAACCAGGGTTACTACACCATTGAGCTAAATCTTCCACCCATTTTATTTTTATTTTGAGATAAGGCCTCACTAAGTTCCCAAGGCCGACCTCAAACTTGCAATCTCCCTGCCTCTGTATCCTGAGTTGCTTGGGTTATAAGCATATGCTACCATACCCAGTGCAGTTTTCTTAATTTTGAATCTTTTTGTGTGTTTGAATTTGAACATTATTAATAGAAATCACAGCTAATGAAATAAAGTTTTCATTTCTTGAAGGGAGGACAGATTCTATGGGAAAAGGAGGAGAGTGGTGTGTGTGTGTGTGTGTGTGTGTGTATGTGTTTGTGTGTGTGTATGCATAGACAAACATATTTTCATCATTTTTCTTTAAAAAAAAACAGAATTCACCTTCCACTGACATAAGACTTTTAAAATACTTTCATAATAGGTTACCTGTTTATGATATATTGGGCATTTGCAGAAACGATTAATATGTGATTTGACTAATGAGCAATTTACTTTGTTATTGGGTCTTTAAAAAACAAGCATTTATATCCTAATTCATTTTGCCATTTCTTCTTTAAGTAAATGCTTAATTATATTATATAAAAGACTCTATAGACATTAGAAAGGAGATAAAGTTAAATCATCTTTAGAGATTTTAAAGTGTAGTAGAGAGAGAAAAAATATGCACATAAGTAAATAAAATAGAAGATGGAACATGATATATGACATGAGAAGTGTGTCTCAAGAACTGCAGATGTCTGTCAGCAGAGAAAAGTGAAGATATCATGGTGGTAACAGGACTTGATGTAGACCTCAGAGGATGGGCACCGTCTCTGCATGTGGGAAGAGAGGAGGAATATTTTTGGAAGAAGGCATAAAATTGTGGATGGGAGAATGCTAGCTAATTAGAATAAGCATAGCATCAAACTGAATATTAAACACTGTACTGCACATACAATTATATGATAAAAGGAAGAGAAAAAGAGAAGGTAATATTTTGACTAATAGTATAGCTAAAAATCTAGGCACATCAGGAATTATTTGGATTTTGAAGTTTCTAATTTAGACAAATTTAAAAAGAATGTAGTGTTTTCTTTGTTATATATGTTTGTTTCTATGGAGATATTGATATTTAAAGGTGGTTTATATCAAAGGTAATTTTAATTGACTTGTAAAAAAATGGTCTCAATATTTGACATGCTGAATGACCTTATATGTGCTCATTCAGTATGTAAAGTCAAAAAAGCTATTAAAATTTTTAATTTAATGAAATATATTCTAATTTTTATCTCTTCACATATCCTAATGTTAAAATATGTACATATTCTATCTCACTAGAATGTAAATTATGGGCTGAATATTCAGATTGTGATTTCTGAAAGTGTTAAACAAGTTCCTGTCATTGTTTCAGGTCACTGATATGATGCTGCAGGACAAACCCTATCCTGATTGGGGAAAATCTGCAAGAGCTTTCTGGAAGAAAGGAAATGTTAGGATCATTTTATTCTGGTAAGAAATTGTTTTATTTATATTCTTTGTTTCTGCCTTGCCTCATTTATAAAACCATGGGTAGGATGTAATCTTTTCCTAGAGTTCTATCTAGAGATGCTACCATGCCCAATTAAAATCATTATCCTAATTATTTGATGAGTTAATTTCTACTTATATACTGTTACATGTACACATTCATAAGGCAGAAGTTTTGCTAATACAGTGATGCATTACTTGACCAGAGGTAAGTACGTTTTTGACTTAGCAAAAACAAGCTGTAATTTTCATCAGTGAAATCTGATACATAAAACTAGCTCCTGTATACACTAAATTGCCCAGTATTTGAAAAAGTAATTCCAGGAAGGAAGGAACCCCTTTACAAATCATATCTGGCCCATTTGTGTTTCTTCTTCACATGATTTCCTTTTGTGCCTTATCATAATCATTGCAATTAAAAAGCAACCACTGTCTAATAGGATTTTGTTTTTGTAGAGTCACTATTATTTATGTGTATTTGGACACATTAAAATAGAAAAGATAGCTATCTCAAGACACAAAGAGGGGTGATTTCACCTGTCTGTGGGGTAACTCCAGCAGCACAGTGGTTCTGCCAGATATGTGAAAGTTATGTACGCTAATGTTCAAAAGCAATGTGACTGATGATAACTTGAGCTGGAAATTTCCAGCCTGTGCACCTGCCTTTTGAAATGGGAGAAGAAAAATCTGTTTATTCTTAGATTTAATTCTGTTTTCTTATTTGCTTTTTTAATATGAAAGCTACAAAAATCATGGTAATCTAGTGCTTGGGGGAAAATAAGTACTCTACATTATATTTTGTGCTTTGGCACTATCATTAAATGTTGTCAGGGATATATGACATTTTGAACTCAATTCTTAACAGATAAACAGAAGTGGGTTTTTCAATAATGCGAAAATGAATATAATCTTGTAAATGTTTATTCACACCTTGTCCCTATAAGTCAAGAGTGGCCTATTTTTTCTGGTGCTATTTAACCTTCATATATTTTCCTGTTTGTTAGCTCCTCATGTACCTTGTGTGAATAATATATAATAATTATAGCAAATATTTATTGAGGATATGTTTTGCTCCAAGCACTCGGCTAAAGACTTGACATTCTATATGTTTACTCATTTAATCCTGACAACCCTATAAAGTACGACGTACTGTTATTATAGGAATAGGTCTCTGATACCATTAATCATTGTAATAGCCTGCTTGGTGTGCAAATTTCCAAACATCTTGTTTATTTTTCATTCTTGTGCTAACTAAAACCATGAGATTCTGGGATTTCTTGTACCCTACAGAATTCAATGCAGGATTTGAAAAATCATAGTTTGAAAGGGGAGAGACTAATAGCATTTATGGATCATCTCTCTTAAAACAATACCCATTTACTATGTCTATACGTATTCTGTATTAGTTAATATATCTTCAAAGTCAGCATCTTGATGACTGGTGCTATCACTTACCAAAGTCACCCATATAATATTTGCAAAGGTAAGCCATGAATATAGTAATTAGAAGGCTTCTGTGATTGTTATCATTAGCTATTCTTAATCACAATTGCTATTTCAGAAGAGAAAAATCATGCTAGATATTTCCTGAAGCACCCCAGTAAATTTTTCCTTGAACATTGTTACTCAAGCTTATATATCATCTGTCTCATACAAATGGGTTTGTTTTGAGCATGTATGATATCATACCCTCAATGGGTAAAGTGTAGTCTAAGTGGTTTAAAATAATAATTATAGTCACTGGCAAATGGATAATATTCTCCAATGGAGAGCAAACTAAAATTCACACTTATTTTTATAGTCACTGTTTCTGTAAATTAATAAATAGATAATATATTTGAGAGTTTTTCACTGTTTTATTCAAAGTAGTATTTCAAATCACAAAAAGCACAAAATAATTAAAGAAACATATTTAAATTTAACTTTAAATATATTTTTCCATTTTTGTTTAGACTGTCTTGACAACAGTATTCATAATTTGAAAAAAAAGGAAAATCTGACGCAACAGTTCAAAATGGGAATGATGTGAGAAGCAAAGATATCTTCCCTTTTGTTCACACTCTTTAGATAAAAGGGATTTAATGTATATAAAGGGCATTTGTTTTCTTTTTAATCTTAAGAGATAAAAATACAGAAATCATTGGAAAGACTCTAGATTCAGTTAAAGAAAGTATTTGCATACTACATGTCACCCACTCAAAAAGAGGTATTTTCTTTTGATTTTGCTCTAATTAATAAAGATAAATTAGTATGAAAAAAGTATATTTTAGAGAAGAAATTTTGCAAAGGAAATCTTTCATGAGTTGCAGTGTGATTATGTGCAGCAGTTTGAACAACATTGCAGTTTGTTCGATGTGCAATTTGTTCTAGTGAATTTACCTCTTACCTTGTATAGCTGCTTTAACTCACAAGTGCCTGTCAGAAACTATATCATTTGCAACTGTGGAGGTGTTTTCTTTCTTGATTCTTAGTGTTAGATATCTCTACATTGAATGAAGTGCTTCAATTTATCTCTGTAGTTGTGCAAAGATGAAACTGCTATAACACTGAGGCTTTCATACTGGGAGGAGACCTGATTATAGCTGCATTTGAAAATATTAAATGATAAAGAAGGAATATTCATAAATCTTTTCCAAAGCACTTTCACCAGCCCTTTTGATGATTAAATAGACAAAGATGTAAGAATCTAAATCTTATGCAATTGCTCTTCTATTTTTCAGAGGGACTAACAACTACCGTTTTCACTGACTTATGCCTAAAGTAAAGAAACACATAAACAAAGAACAAGTGATATGATACTCATGTTATCCTCTCTCTTCCTGTTTTATTTTTTTTTTCTCCAGAGACATCATTGGTGTGTTTCTGATGGGAAGCATCTTGGGATGATATTTCCCAAAGACTTGGTTTATTATTTTTTTAAAATAAGAGACACTCTTTTATTTTTATTAGTAGAGTGATTAGCAGAAGAAGAAATTGGAGGATCTATTGTTTCTCCAGACACATGAGAGGATTCTACTTCTCTGCTCCTGCTGATTATGTGCTTTGCTTTGACCAAGGAAAATGTTTATAAAAGTTCTTTGGTTGGTAGTTACTGTGGGTGCTTGGGTCTAGCTGAAAAAATGCAGAATAAATCAAGCATCCTTAGCAACTCAGTGAGCATACAGTGTGAATGAATGTTAAACCTCTGAGATTTGGGGATTATTAGATATTGCAAATGAACAATATTTTTTCCTTTTAATATCATACTTTTAAATGTCTAGCAAAAGGCACTTAGTCACTTAATTTTGACCAGATAAGAGTTTAACAAGAAACAGTTATTAGTTTAAGTTGCATTACTCATGCTGTAGGAGACTAATATGCTAATAAAAAATATAATAAATAAAAACATCTAAAGATTCAGGGAAAACGTCAGGCAGAATTTTAGTAACAACTCTGCTAATATCTGATTGTATAACCTGTATGACTACTTTAGATTTCGATTTCCTTTTAATTTTCTTTTCCTTTTCTTTTTTGTAAAATGATACATTTTATTATACTATGAAGGCTCTTTCAGCTCTAATATTTTCTATTGTAAGGCTAAAATGATGACCAGAAAATAATATTGTACTATTTTGCTCCAGAGGGAAAAATATGGACTGTAGAATGTAAGTCATACAGAAAGGATTCCCTAAAACAACATGAACTTCTCAGTGAACTTCTCATGAATCCCTCACCAGAACTTTTATGCAAAACCTAGATAATCATCAATTAGGGATGCTATAGAAGGATTTTCATGTTAAATGGTACAAAAAGAAATTACTTTTAATTTTGTATCAAACTTGTAAATTCTGTGACTAAATTTTAACCAGAAAAGTGTTGTATATCTCCACTTCATAGTGGAGGAGGTACTAATTAAAATGCAATATACTCTACACAATCCTTTCTCAACATGTCTCTTTAGGCAGTTGTTCATCCTTGATTAAAAGGTGCCTATGTAATTGAGGAAAAACAGAACAATTTTGGTCACAATTTGATAAATTTACCTAGTAAATTAGCTATTGTAACTTTTAACATGGTACTAAGTTAGCAGGTTCTAATTTAAGTGTGCTGTTTTGGACCTTCTACAGCAAGGTTCAAGGATATGCTTCAACTGATTTTCTCACCAGACATAAGAGTACTACATTTTGATAAAAAGATGATTGATGCTGTATTATTATGTTGTATTTTATGAAGATTTTCATTAAAAAATAAACTATATTTATGCTTGAGAGATTTAACTCTCAATCCTATACTTATGCCTGAGCATTTACTCAACCCAGTGTCATTGTTGATTTAATATTGCTGAGTTAAGAATAACCATGATTTTATTGACTTATTTAGATAAATACTTATTAAATGCTGAGTACATTGTAGAATAGTGGTTAGCAGTACAACCTTTCGAGCCACCTGCCTAGTTTTCAATTCTGGCTTGACTACTCATTGCTCTGTGTAGTAATTTCATTGTTGCCAGGACATGGCACTGTCCATGGTGCTGAGAATACAACTTTGAAAGACAAAATAAGGACTTTGACAGAGTAATTTTCAGACCAATGAAAAATACACACAGACAGACAGACACACACACACAGACACACAGACACACACACACACTGAGAGAGACAGACAGAGAGAGAGAGAGAGAGAGAGAGAGAGAGAGAGAGAGGAGGGGTTGGGGGCTATAGCTCAGCGGTAGCATGTACTTAGCACATGAGAGGCACTGGGTTTGAGCACCAGCACAATATAAAATAAATAAATAAAAAATAATGTGTCCATCTACAACTAAAAAAAATAAAAATAAAAAGAGAGAGATATACAGTATTAGCCATAGGAGTGGGTGCTGTGCTGTGGGGCTAAGCAAGATCCAGGTATTCATTTGTAAAGCTGAAGTGTCATCTTAGGATAAGTAGGAGCCAGACAGGAGGAGACACAGGGATAGGTTAGGTATGTGCAGCATGGAAGAGGGA